GAGCATAAAAAGTTATAAACTATACAATGAAGGCGTCAACAGGGCCGAATGGGAGCGTTTCTCTAGGCGTTCCATGCGGCTTGGCTTGGTTTCACCTTTATCAGCTATCGGCTTTGGTTAAATTACCTAGAATTAGTTAACACATTTTCCACTGCGCTGTGCGCTTTGCGCTTTACGTTGTGTCGTCTGTTTGGCATAATTAAACAATTTTGAGCTTTACGCGCAATTAAATTAATTTCTTCCTTTGGCTTTAGCCGCCTGATAAGTGAATAAACGGGCCCAAGTCAAACATTTAAATTGCGATTGCACCGCCGCAGATACAGATACGCATACAGCATACTAGCATAAGTATATGGCAACAGAGCCACAGCGCCAGGCGGTATTTATGAGATATTAATTGCAATTGTGCCAGATTACAAAGGCTGACCCAGCTGCAGTTTCCGCTTCCATGCTCTGATTTCCTCTAGTTTCCCAGGACCCATTCAATCCGCTTGTGAACGTGCAAAATCATAAAGAACCAGCGCTGCGTTCCAGGAATGGGGCGACAAAGTGAGCAATGAGTTCAGCAGGCAATCCGCCAGATACACCGATGTATATCTCTATCTACACACATAGATGCATATGTATATGTATGTAATTTCCCACCCGGGTTGACAGGCGCTGCAAGTAATGTGCGTGGCTACTTTTTCATTCGCTCGGAATGAATAACATTCATGCTCTTGGATTGAATTAATGCCTTGGCATAACTCAAGTGCCAAATGCAAAATGTATCTTGAAAAGCGGGAATTAGCATTTGTCAATGGCTCGACGGCAGGGGTTGGATTTTTGCACTTATTCCAGGGGGATTCTATTGAAAGTGAAGTCGGGATCTTATCATTTTTGACTTAATTATCCCAAACGTCGGTTTTTGTTCTCAAGGATTTATGTGCAGCATACCTATTAATCTAGAGCACCCACTCAATGGCACGCTGTAGTTTTTCAACTTTTAATTAAATTCAAGTGAACGCGAGCACTTTGGATCTTTGTGGTTGGATCCCGACTTTCTCCTATCCGAATTCTTTGCATATTCCGCCGATTGAATAGAGGCATAGCCTCCAGTGTCCATAATGAACGTGTTCATTTCATTTGATCAATTCAGCTCGCAGCGCAGACTATGTAGCAAGTACTTATTAACGCTGATGCGAAGCTCGTTTCTGCTGCTGGGCTCCGAGTTCTGAGCACATTAAGATCAGATACAAAGATACATTATCGCCGCTCCGAGCTGGCCGGATCGAGTAGTTGTAGGCGGTCGTCACTCAGTTATTCAGTCACTCAGCTTGTGGGTCCGATCGGGCATTGGCGCAATTAAAACGCTTAAGGGGCCAAGCCAGAGTCAGAGTCGAGAGCTGTTTCTGTTTGCTACTTAAAGATACACGCCACATACACATCCACACTCGCACAGCCGTCCATCTATCGGATCGAGTCAGATATAAATAAGCGATACGTGTAATTCGGGTCACTAACCGTTAACAATAAATTTCATTTGTTTAAGAAACTCCAGCCGGCGGGCAGGCTGTAAAATAATATCGCCATAAGAATTGACATCTGATCATTTGTAATTATTATTGCGCATTGCGACATGACAGGGCGTCGGCTACTTGCTGCCATTATTTGGGCGTGGCCACTGGGGCCGTAGTACGTTGCCATTGGCCCAAAGTAGCCGCGGAATCGATATATGGTATATATGGTATAAAAGGCCGCAGATCGGAGCAGATCGCAACAGATCGCAGCACAAATCATTCTAAATGGTCCGCGTCGAAGATCCGACTCATTCCGCCTCTAATGGTAATCGCAGTGCCATAATTTACATTGCGGGACGACTCGAGTCAGAAGTCTTGGTTCGTTCAACTCGTTCAATCAATCTTAGATTCGGTTCAGGGAACAATTAATGCCAAAAAAAGAGAAACAAGTCGAGAAACCTCAAGTGCGGGGAAGGGCTTTCTTTATTTTGTCGGCCAAGTTGCGTTGTCTACTTGAGGAGTTTCGTTTTTCGGTCTTCGGTTTTGGGTTTTGGGTTTTGGGTGATCAGTTTTCGTTTTAAGTCCAACTTAAATGGAACCAGAAATTATTTTGAACGCCTTCAAGTGCCACACACAACAGCTACAACAAAAGTACATTTAAAGGGAAAAAACAAAAATCCAAAGACGAAAAACCAAAAACCAAAGTTGGTTCGAAGTTGGGGCGCAATCATGACTTGATGCGATTATAAAGAAGTTTTTCGATGGGCAGGGGGCACAAACGTAGAGAGTCGGAAAGCATTAATGCCCAATACAAATAGAAATTAGATACACACACACACTTACGCGTTCGACCGCCACAAGCACATATGGATACTTAACAATTTCGATATTCAAATGAATTTTTGGAAAATGACTTAACCAAAATGCCGCAAATGCCCCAACTGAACTCGCCTGAACTGTCTAGAATTGTTTTCTCTTCCTCCTCCATTTTTATTGGGCTTTCGAGCCCGCCGCTTAGAGAGTTGTAAATAATAATAATAATAATAACAATCCAATCCGGGACATGCAGCAATGGCAGCTCTAAGTTGGCCCACATCAAGATACAGATCAAGAAATACCTACGCATCTGATGCGATTTAAGCGGCTTTCGAAAGTAAACCCATCAGAATAGTATCATCTCAAGTGCCAAAGGAAGGTGGCTTAAGCGAGAGTCAAGATCTTATAATATAATATATATTATATATATATAATATATATATTCAAGTACTGCTTCTGAAATATATATATATTTCTATATAATATATAATATATACGCATATATTTGCCAATCTTATCAAACTGGCGCTTGTCACATTAGTTAATGAATTGGAAAATAATACTCGGAAATTTAAATACCAACTTCCTGGATTTCGTCTAGGTTCCTGGAAATTACAAAACTAACATAGAATCTTATAATATAATCGTAGCACCATGTAGCACACTCATTTGGCGAGTCGAGCGACAAACCAATTTTCATTCTGCGAATGGCATAAAAACAATAGCTTATAACAAATAGCAATTGTGGGGCCCATATAAGGCAGTTAGAGCAGCTCGGCTCACAAAGTTTGTGGCAATTGTGGATGGAATGGATGGCATGGATGGCATGGATGGCATGGTTGGCATGGAGGGCATGGGGATGGAGCGGAGTAATGAACTTGTCAGCCATGTTGGCAGGGTGTGCTCAAGAAAGCTGACTTGCCCAAGTGCTCCAGTTGCTCGGGGGAGTGTGCGACGCCTGGGAATCGAAGATAAAGGTAATCCATTTGACTTGGCCATATCTACGACTGTCACACAGTCTGGCTCTGGCTCTGATTCGAAACTATGCACAGCTGCGCAATTTCGCAGGCGAGCGGCTGGGGCTGGGCTTTCGGATTTTCGGGGCTGACTAATGAAACCGAACAATAATAATTTAGTAAGTCTGGAGTCTGGAGTCCAGACCTACGCGTGCGCAAAGGTGGATTTCCGATGGCTGGCAATTGTCACCGCAGCAAACGCAATTTGTCGTCGTCGCAGACGAGGAGTGGAAGTCACTGAACCCGCTCGAGTCGATGCTTTTTTCTATTACCTTTTTCTGCGTCTTTGCCGCACTCCATATCTCTACACAGTGAGAAATGCGCATGTAGCATTGTGCCCTTACCTCAACAAGATTGTTGGAAGTTGACGCGCTTTCAGCACAACTTGCACCAAATTGTTCGCAGTGCAGCGCGCTCTCACTCGCCGCTTTTTTTGGGTGTAGGCCAGGCCCGCCGCAGACAAAGCCGCATTTGACAAAGAAAATCTCACAGTGTTTTCAGCTAGTTACAATTGTAAGTAGCACACAAGCACTCGCACAACTAAATATTTTGTGGCAACTGCGCAGGCGCGCGTGTGCGTCATGAAATTAGTTTATTTGTTTGCATAAATGTGGCAGCATGTCTGTGTGTGTGAGTGTGTGTGTGTGTGTGGCAGCCAATTTCTAATAAATTTGTTGTTTCGGCACCCGTGTCATGCACACCTGGAGCATAATTCGCCCTCGGCGAATCCAACACAAACTTGGATTCCAGCTGAAGTGAGCCATGAGTCAATTTCCGTCAGCTGCGCCAGCTGAGCGCATTTAAAGGAGAAACTTTGCAAATCCGTAGTTTACACAAATTTGGCCAAATACCATAAAGTGCGCCAAGGAGCCAGCTCCCACAACTAGCTGGTGAATTTCCTTAAAAACGCTGGTTCTAATAACGCAACCTTACCATGCGAGTATAGCTGCCCCACTTGAGTATTATGGGAAAATGGTATTATGGCTGGAGGGGAGTGGGGCCACTTAGGTCTCGAACTACTGCGAACGGCGTTAGAACAATAAACAGCGCACAAGAGATTCTTTTCTTTGATTTTGTTCATACTTTTCCCAATCTAACAACACACATTCAAATCAATGAATGGCTGCCACTCGAGTCCAAAGAGCCGAAAAACAAGAACAGCAGAAACTCGCAGGATGGGGAGCTCTTTTCGGCCACTCGAGCGTTCGATGACATTTCGTTTTTAGTTTTCTCCGCGTAATTATTATAATACTCGTACACAAATTTAGGCAGCCATTCTGATGGCGAAGTAGGAATTTGTAGAATCATTTCAAGTGCTTGAGAGTTTAACGATTCCCCAGGTTCAGGTTCAGATTCAGATACAGATTGGGATCTACATCTACACGTAACCAGGGCTGACCGTAGCTGTACTCCGCCATAAAAGTGTGTATGTGTGTGTGTGCTCCACTTGGTCGTATAACCCATTTAGTCCGAACTATAACGCCGCTTCGACCCGATGACAAAGATAGTTCAGATACTAAGGCATGCCGCAGAATACGTTCGTTGATTTGCGGTAATTGCGCCAGACGCCTGCCGGGGCATTGGATTTCGCCTCGGAATGGATACTTGTGCTATAGATCGGACATGGTCTGGTCCATAACTATAAGTATCCGTAAGAGCCGACAATGCCGGGCTTTATTTTAAGGCACAAGGTTGAGTTTTGTTGCTCCGGTTCGCGCCGTGTGTAGGTTCACAATCGCTGGGCTCGGACTCGGACTCGAACTCGGACTCGGTTCGAGTAGAGCATGTAGATTCGGTAATTATATTTCGCTTTATATTAACAGCCCACAAAGGCAGATAGCAAGCAGTCATACACACGCTCACAGACGGCCAATCTAAACCAGTTTGCTTATTTAATTTCAATGCTTAGTCTTGAAGTCACATTGATTGGAGTGATTACCTCTATGAGTGTGCGAGCGGCAGTGCCAAAAGCGGAGTGGCAGCCAAACAATCATACTTGTATTTTTGACTGACGTAATGCTATGGAGACACTTTCCCGACCAAAATCGAAATCGGTAGATCCTTTCTACGTCGGTGGAGGAGCAGCGATGATTCTAAATGGCCGCATTTCAGAGTTGGCATCTTCCAACTTCATCTTCGACTAACTTGGCTGGAGCCCCACCCTGGCGAGTAATTGGCACTCGACTCGAATTTAAATGATTCTGGCATTCCTTGGGCGCACTGAACAAAAACTCTTGCCTCTGCCAGCAACGCAAAACTGAATGGATATACAGATAAAGCATTAGTAACGCGGGGGAAACCCACAAACATCAGCAAGATTAGGACGCGTCCATTGAAGCGGATTTATGTGGATTTTATAAATGAGCACACAGTTTCTTTGCGTGTATCTTCCAAAAAGGAAAGGTTTAACCACCCCGCAGCTCATGACTAAAATTTAAACAGCGCCATAATAGTCGGCGGTAATAATTAATTGTTTGCTAATAAATATGAGCTTATATATAGGAAGAGCTCAAATAATAACAACAAGCGCACGCGCCGCCTTCTCCAATGACTAAGTCTCCTTTCAGTCTTCGAGTACGCGATAAATGCGAATGTACATACATGTCTACGTATCTAGATACGTAGTTCGAGTGTACGAGGTACACATACGAGTGTATGTATAAATTGTAAATCAGATACGGCATAAATATTGAACACATGGCGCAGTTTCTACGGCCAAGAGTTGTGGGTGTTTGGGGACACAAGAGGGGCACGGAAGGAACTCAACAAAATCGAAATAAAATAAAGCACCATAAAACGTACTTAAGATTGACGATTGTGTTTTGGGGGAGCGATCAGTGAAAGAGTTTTTGGGGAGACGATATATAGCAAGTACAGTTGAGCACTTGGGTATACGTCATATGTTGGATTTCATATTTCTAGGACTTTCACAATATAGTCATTGTTTTTATTACTAAATTATGAGGGAATTTGTGATTGATTCGGCGAGGGAACGACCCAAGTAGCCGGAATTCGACTGAAGAACGCGTTGGGTAAATGCACATTCTGAAATATTTATATAGTACATTTGAATATACTTGATTAGATATAATTGGCTGTCAGTATGACTCTTGATCACCCCACTCAATCGCACCATTACTCGGATACTGAGCAACTGAGCACCGCACAGATACATTTTCGAACCAAACAAAATGTCGGCAGCTGCTTTTTGTGTGAGTTGTGTTAGCTTATAAATTAAAACGCGTTTCATGGCGTTTCATTATTCGATGTTTTGTACGTTTTTCGTCTTGCGGGTGCTCAATTCATTCGATTGTTCGTATTCACATTCTTTTTAGCCCATTTCGTTACGCCTTGGACTCCTCATATACCTCCCTCTCCCTCTGCCTCTGCCTCTCCCTCCGCTCGCTTCATCTGTCCGCCTGTCTGCTAATTGAAAATCAATTAATGTGACTGCATCTATAGCTGCTCATGTCAAAGTCAGATATCATCCAGGGTGGAATAAATCCAGTGGAATAAGAGAAGGGGAACAACAGGAATGAATTCAAGACTCGGTTCAGAATCGGAATCGGAATCTGAATCCTTTTGTTTTCACTGACCCTACTGTCCGAGAACAAAAACCTAATTGATGTGCTCCAAGTAGCACTCTGATAAGTACCGAAAAACTCCACCAAACTTTTTTCGATTGCTTTCCACTTTGACAGTGCAGTATTCATCGGCAGGTTCATTGGATTTTCGAGTTTTGCGTTCCGAAGCGCCTTCGGTACGAGTTTTGCATGCCCAAATACTGGAACGTCCAATCTGGGGCCTCTACTTCGAACATGCGGGTAATTTGGGCACTAATCGGTGGACAAACGACTCCCGAGTCTTATTAGTTAATTCTCAATACTGATTTCTGATTACTCACCTTCCATTTCTCTTCCATTGCAGGTCAACAAACAGTATTCGGCCACCGATCTGGAGGCTTTTATGAAGATCGCCGCCAACTGGCAAAATTCCAATCACAACTTGCTGGAGGGCGTCGACTTGAAGACGGGTAAGTTAACAAATCGATCTCTCTATTGAAGGATTCATTCTTAATCGTCGAATGCTTGCAGAAATGACACAGTACATGAACAGCCCATCCATGAACATGTACAAGAAGAGGGAGCGCACCCAGAACTGGAACCACCAGGAGAAGAAGTACCTGCTGGATCTGTGCCGCAAGGACATGCGCATCATTGAGAACAAGAGATTGGACGCCGGCCTCACGGCCGTGAAGAACAAGGCCTGGAAGATCATACACCAGAAGTTCTCCAATCAGTTTGGCACCGATCGCACCTGCAATCGCCTGAAGGAACAGTGGCGTCGCATGAAGGGTAAGTCCATATAGAATAACGATTTTATGGCATGCCTAACGTTTCGATCCCCTCATGCAGCATGCACTCGCAACGAGATCCTGGACTACAACAATCGCCTGGCCAGGTTTGGAGCAGAGGTCGCCGATCGCAAGAAGCCATCGCCCTTCACCTTCGAGGTGTGGGATTTCATGCAGGAGGCGAAGAAGGCTTGCAAATCGGAGGCCCTGGATGGCATTGACTACTCCAAGATTCCCCTGGCCTTGGAGGAGGGTTTTGAGTACCGCGAGGACTACAAATTCAACGCCGACGACCACGACATGGATGAGTAAGTTGATGGCTTGATGGGCGTCCGTAGAGATCTTTACTGAGCATTCTCTATTTAAGCAGCAGCCGCACACCGCCGCAAGAACTGTGCGATGTGGACATCAAGGAGGAGGAGAACAACGAGACCTTCAACGAGACCTTCAACAATCACCACCTCAGCCAGAGCGACATCCACGGCAGCGGCGAGCGCCTCAGTGTGTCGCCCAATCACAGCATCAGTCGCAATGGGATCCACGAGGCCGAGAGTCCCGCCACAATCTCTGCAGCTAATGCCCTGGATTCCAGCGGTGCCTTTATGGCCGGAGGAGGTGACATGTCCGGCTTCCAGGCCAACTTCAACATGAATAACATATCCGCCACGCTGGAGGCCCTGAATGCCCTCCGATCTGGCCAGTTTCCCAGTGCAGCAGCAGCGGCAGCGGCCGCCATTCACCAGCACCAGGCACAGGCCCAAGTCGCCATGCATCAACAGCACAATAACAACAACAACAACGAGGACGACGAGGATAGCATGAAGCCGCAGTCCAAGAGGCAGCGCACCAGCAGTGGTAGTATGTTGGGCAGCGAGGATCAGACAACCGCCCTGACCACTTCAGTGCCAGCATCGTCGGAGTGTCAGGCTCTGGAGCGGTCCGGCAGCAGCAGCAATGGATTAGCCATGACGGGAGCGGCAGCCAGCACCAGTGCCAACAGCAGCAGCAACAACTTTGAGCTGCGAATGTTCATGGAGATGCAGAGCAAGGAGCACATGATGCGCATGAAGATCCTGGAGGTGCAGTTGCAGGCGGCCAAGCACAGTCGCGACCTGGTGGAGATCAACAAGACATTGGCGCTGCAGAAGCTGCAGTTGGAGTTGGCCAGCAAGCGACTGCCCAGTTAGGAGGCAGTGCAGCAGCACTGGCAGAAGGAGGAGCAGCCGCAACAGCCCATCGCCGTTTCATGTTACATTAGTTTATAGAATTAAAGCCTGTCACCACCGCGGTCACGTTCGCAGGCAGAGGGCGTGACTGGGAATTGACTAGAGTTAGCCCTAGAGTTAGTCCTAAGTTGGAAGCAGGATCCACAGCTACACATCCACCCGACACACACAGAGAGACATTCCTGGCATTGTTGAACAGTATTTGAAAGCTAGAAGCGAAACCCGACACACAGAACCGAACCCAAGAACCCCAGCGAGGATCAGGAGGCGCTCGGAAGTATGCCATAATCTTATGATGATGATGATGAATCGCCTACCTCACAAGCACACACACAGGATGCACACACTCAGCTAGCAGACACACACAGACACACTCTCTTCTGGCCTAACCAGCACTTGACCAAGTCAAGTCAAGTTTAGTTAGTTTCTAGTTTTAGTTCGTATGGGAACCACTCTCTCCAAGTTGCTCAACTACCACAAATGTATTGTACTTACGTTCTTGACTTCTGCTACCACAACTAACGATTTAATGAAATATGAAATGCACACACGATTATTTTGCGTAGTCCTAAGAGAAGAACGAACCCTATATATGTCAATGCATCATACAATCGGCAGTCGTCTCAGATTTTGATTCTTACTTGTACTTGTATTTATTTGTATCTTTGTATAGACTATGTTGATATATATACAGCCCCTATATATGTTTGTTTGAATGCCATATTAAATGAAAGTTCTCTTTAATTCATATTTTCCATTTGCGCTGCAAAACAAATTGTTACCATATATGATATATGTACCGTACGTATAAGCAGGCTCCCACTTGAAAGAGGGGCTTCAAAAAGGCCGCGCACTGGGCTTCAGTTGTCGTAGAAGGCTTCTTTGTAAAGCGTGTAAATGAGAGATACAAATTATTTTAAATAAAATAAAATACGAAACAAAACAAAACATACTGCAGGTGGTTATGTTTTCTGCCACACTTCACTAATTTTGTTCATCCCTGCGTATCCTTCTTTTCCAACGATTGTATCTGCTTATCCACCTTGATGATCTTCGTTGTGACTTCGTTCTTCTGGCTGAGAATTTTCGCTCGCAGCGTCTTCAGCTGTTCTCTTTGCTGGGTAAAGTTGAGTTTTAAGGTTAATAGAGTGATTACTTTGGTTTTGGGGGCCACAGACCAGTTTAAGGAAGTGAATGTTCTCCTCCGCCCTGGCTTTCTCGAACAAATGCTTGGATATGTTTCTAGATACATGGATGCATTCATTTCGATGCTATAGAGCACAAATAGAACCAACTTACTTATTGGGCTGCGCAAGCTGACACATTCTTGGTCGCAACAGTTGGACAAGCTTCTTGACCACCTTCAACATGGTATCCTTACGGGGCTAGCCAAAACCTATTGAAATAATTTGGAATTTGCTGTAACAGATATATTTACTATTTCAAGGTAGAGTGCTTATGACTAACTTCAATCTGACGGCCTACCGTTCGATACATTTCGTTCTGCTCATTTTTCGAGACTCTTTTTGAATCGCTGCAGCATCTCCTTTAGTGTTTTCAACTCCTTTATGAGTATCTCCTTATTTTTCTTTGATTGGTGGCTGGTTCTGTTTTCCAAACTCTTGATCTCCTCTTCCAATTTCTCGATGTCTCTGGCGATTTCTTTAATCCGGTTCTTCTTTATCTTCGTGAATTGCTCTGAGGCCTAAGGAATACGCCATTCTGCTGGTTATTCACAACATAAATTAGCTGCGATACATACTAGCCTGAGAACATAGTTAAGTTCCTCGCCTCGGCCCTTCTCGGAGAATTTGTCGGAGAATTCACGTCTGCAGGCTCTTGAAATGTAGTTATAGGGGATATTTGGATAATAGAAACTTACTTGAGTGGAAATATGTATAGAATATTTTTTTTTCTACCTTGGTAATTTTGCCTCGGTAAATTTCTGCGGGAGATGCTCAAATAAGGTTCGGATGTGTGGAAATCGACCGAAAACATACCTTACAATTTCTCGACGGAGCACCTGTGATTGAAATGGTCTGGTGCATGATGCCGATCCTAAAATTCGCGCAACAGCAAACATGGTTTCTTAACTTTAGGATTTACCGAAAAGTGTGTGGCAGAAAAACATCTTTCATGTATGGATATAAAATGTGGGTTTGACGTATGGTTAAAAGCAGCTTTTTGATATGAAGTTTATATTTATATTTATATTTATATTAAAATAAACATTTCGCTTTTTATAACTAGTGCGCAGATGTGAATGAAGGCTGCTCCGGCTTGTGATAAGAAAACTGGGGGATTAATTTAGTTTAGCCGTTCCAAATCTTTTATTGTTTCATTCATAACGTTAAGCGTACATAGTCCTCGACGGCTGTCCAACCGGAGCGTCGTAGTAAAATGGACGTTGCGGTGCGCTTGGAGACCTGAAAGGATTGCCGGACCCGGCTCCAGGTCCAGATCCGTATCCTGGTCCAGTGTGACGAGATGGCAGGGCGGCGCTGGGGGCCGCAAGGATGCCCAGAAGACCCAAAATGAGCAGGCAGCACAATGCGAATTGATTCATGGCTGGCAATCGCAAGTGTTTCTGAATGCCAGCCTCCAGCAAGTGCTTGTTTTTATACGCTGCGTATACTAGTGCCCCTGGGATTGGGAAGCACACAGGGGGATTTTGCTATTCGCTAAAATCACCGACCTTGGGTGATTTCTTATCACTTGGCTGGGCCTGCTTTCTCTCCTTCCTCCCGCGCTTGGATTGCACCTTCACATCGAACTCCATGCCCCTGATGCAGCGGGTTAGATCGGTTAGATTGGACTCCACGCGCTTTTGCTGGAGTGTCAGGTCATGAGATCGCAGATCCAAGGCTCCACGTTTCTGTCAACATATACATATGTAGATGGGGTTTGACTTATCATCCATCATGTAAAGTAGCAACTTACTGTTCGCAGATCCTCCAGCTTTAACTGCTTTTCTATGCGAGTGTGATCGGGCAAGACAACCAGATAACTTCTGTGTTCGAAAATGTTGTGCTTTTATCTTTAGAATCACTGATGCAACTTACCTGATGGTACGGCCTCTGAAGTGGCTGAGAATAGATCGGATTATTGGGTTAATGTTCATGTTTAGGAAAATGAAAGCAGCTAATTTTGATTATTTCAAAAAGTTTGAAAGCTATTCCAAAGTTTTTATGAAATTTTAAACTAGATCTTTTGCTAATATGGTGTTGAAATATACTCATTCATATATATATCTCATTCCATGCCAAAAAGTATGCTGTGCTTTCTTGCTGTCCCCTAGGTGGCGCCTTGGTGACGAATGTCAAATGCCTGTAAAATTACCGTCGCCCTTGCCATTAGAAAAACACTATTAGCAAACATTAAGTAGTTCTATTAATTAATCTATTCATTTCTATTACCTATAATTTTATTAATTCTATTGAGTAGTTCTATTTATTCATTCGTATGTTTCGGAGGGCTTTCTTCAGCTCTTTGAGGACTAATATAAGTTCGCCCTTTGCAGTCTGTGCCTCAGATGACTTACTTTTCTCAAGGGCTTTGATTTGCATTTCCAGTGACTCTATTTGTGCGGCAAGTTCCATGATCCTCGCCTCTTTCCCCTTGTTGCCCTGCAAATGTTTCTTGGAGATAACGTGCCTTATAAGTATTTTTACCAGGATAGAAAGCCTAAGATACACACAACATGATACGTGTCGATACCGCCGCTGCCTCTGCCTCCCTTGTCAAAAAGATCGCTGAACGGGCGTCCCTTGCTGCAATAAAACGCTGGATTAAGGGCAATTCACACAGCGGAAGTACCTACCATGAAAACAGGGTATCCCTCGTCTTAAAAAGAGTAAGAATCTTATAAGCCCCCCGAAACATACTTTAAGCCTTACGTTCAATTTGTCTAATAAGTTTCCCCACGCAAACTAGATTTGGTAACTCAACTAAAAAGAGCAAGCAAATCATCCAAGTAAACCTAACGCCACTTGCTTTGCGAATATATTTCAATACTCGAGAATCAAAACGCACAAATAGTTAGGCAGTAGTCCTTTAGTTAGTTAGTTTCTCGCCTAAATCGTCCGTGATACATAAATATTACGGATAACTCACGATGATCTGGGACTTCTTTACCTTTATACGCGCAGCCACTGAGTTCAGTGCCACTGCTCTGCTGATCTTGCTTGGTTGCATGGGGGACGCAATGAACCAGGGTGGTGAGCACAAATTCTTGGTGACCAGGTGACAGCTATGAGATTCCTATGATGGCCCGCAGTTAATACGCCTCTCCCTAGCGTGCATTATGGCCTGACGGTGATGGTGGTGATGCATGTGTTTGGCTTCGTATCCGGTGCCCATGCGAATCCCTGCATCTCGATCTCCTGCTACTGCCTGGGCCACATCGCCCTGGAAGTGATGCTGATGTATGTGGCCTGCCAGATGGCTGGGGCCTTCGCCGGCTACTTGCTGCTGCTGCAGCTGCTGCCCAAGGAAGTGGTGGACAAAAGCAAGCCGGGCGTTTGCCTGGTGCAGCCGATGCACTCTCTGTCCACTGCCCAGGTGGTCACCATCGAGTGCCTGCTGACCGCGGTCCTCGTGCTCGGATGGTGCGCCTTGTGGGATGTGCGCAACGGAAGGTTCCTCGACTCGGTCACCATTCGCATGGGTCTTCTGGTGGTCGCCTGCCATTACGCTGGGGTGAGTTGAACGGCCTCGGATGCAGTGAATCACTTCCCTACACGCATTTCCTGCAGGGTCAACTAACAGGAGCCTGTATGAACCCCGCCAGCACATTGGTGCCCGCCATCTTCCACGGCAATCCGGACGCGGTTCTGTTGCAGCTGACTGGCCAGATCTTGGCCGCCGTCTTGGTTCCCTTTGTCTGGAACAATGTGTACACGCCACGCTATAAACCCTTGGAAATTCCCGTGTACAACTGAGCCGAGGCCCCGGAATGCCGAGTGTGTAACAATAAACATAAGCTCGACGCTTTGGGCTACCGTGTGTTTTATTTGATCAAGTGTATGAGCTATTAAATATTTACGATAAGCAGTTCGCCGTGCCGTAGAAGTAATCTGATTCAGATAAGCATGCCATTTACATTAGGTTAAATAAATAGTCGGTCGTGGAAATTCATTTAAGGTATTTATTTGCACGCTTCGCAACCTAAAACTAACCGCTGTCAACTCACACGAACTTAAACGATAACTTGTCCTATGGGTAGTAGTACATCAATCTAGGCGAGATCCGCCTCCGAGGTCCGCTTGGTTGACATCGTGGTCTCGTCCGCCTCCGACTCATCCAGCTCCCGCCGGAAGGCGTGCTTGTAGATCACCGAGGTGACCAGGGCCGCCGCCATGGGACCCACCCAGTAGATCCAGTGGTCGTCCCAGGCTCCGTTCCAGATGGCCGGTGCGAAGGATCGGGCGGGATTCATACTAGCTCCAGTCAGTTGGCCCTGCAAGGGATTTCAAATCGCGTGTTAAAGAAGTGGTTGCCAGTTGCCTGATAAATTAGCAACAGATAGTGATTGGCATTTTAGCGTCGTGGTTTTTATCTGCTGTTTCTTAAGAGCAGCCATCACTATCTGGATTGAGGAATCGGACAAACAGTTGGTGTGGTGGATGACTCCATGGCCATGGCCAACTTACCGCTGTGAGCGACAGGCATGCGATGGCCAGTCCAAACCGAACGGGCACCGAGTCCTGCTTGGTGGCATTGCGGGGATCCCAGACGCCGCAGCAGATGGAGATGAGGACGCAGGTGATCAGGAACTCCACGGCCAGGCCCTGCCAAGGGGTCAAGGTGCTGTTGAGCGACGTGAGGCAGACGCCATTGGGGTTTTCCGTGCTGTAGATGGCGCTCTCCGGGAGCACCGCCTTCAGCAGGCCGTATCCGATGAAGGCGCCTACCATCTGGGCCACAAAGTAGGCCAGAGCCATTGGCAGGGAGATCATGTTGTACACGTAGGTGGCCAGGGTGACGGCGGGATTCAGGTGGGCGCCGCACACACAACCGAAGCACTGGATGCAGATCAGCACCACGAACCCGAAGTTCAGGGCGCTCTGGAAGTCCGAGTTGGTGAACACCGAGTTCTGGACGCAGCCCATGCAGCCGAGGAACATCAGCATGGCGGTGGCTATCATCTCGGCCAGAACCGTTGAGATGTTGTCCAGCTGGCGGCGCTGCAGCAGCCAGCAGTTGGATTGGCTGCGGAATAGACAGGATTACCCGATATTAGTATCGTGCCTTCATGCAGTTCGAAGAGATTTTTAGATTTTGGACACGGATTTCAAGGGAATCACCTTGCCATGATTTCCGTGCGCCGAGAGAAGCGATTGACTTGAACGGAGACGTGGTCCGACGTGGACTGCACTCCAGACCAAGTACTCAATGGTGCGAATCGCATTCTATATCGCCGGCACTTAATCGCTGGCAATCTCGTCTAATCGCCTTAGCTGGGTTATCGCCAGCGGTGCTATGTGCTCCTATCTAGCCAACCGTGGCCGAACATTTGGGTTGTTGGACTCCATTCACTCGAGTGCGCCTGTCCCCCTTACGACGCCTCAAGACAATTCAAAAAGTGACAGGGCATTGAGTTAGTGGCCCACTAATCAATGTGATTTAGGCCTGCTGTCGTAAAGAATATTCACTCGCACCAAGCTGAGCCATTTTAAAGGACTACTGCTTATCATGGCCAGTGATAATAGTTTGTGAAATAGGGCAAATCGAGCCCCCAAAAACGGCAATATCGCCCCATCCCAATTGTATGCTATGGAAATACACAACTGCCTCCTAATCCTAAATATTCTGTTGCTCTATCATTACAACACGTATTGTTTATTGTTTATTCGTTAAGATTCGATTCACACCTATTGCACTACAACAACCTCGCCGATCATTCGTATCTTGTCATCGGAGCTTCTCAGGTCGATCTCCTCGTCGCCCTTAAAAGCCAATCGATAGATCAGCGAAGTCACAGCTCCGGCCACCAGAGGACCCACCCAGTAGATCCAGTGGTATGCCCAGGAGTCGTTCCAGACAGCGGGACCCAGGGACCTGGTCGGATTCATGCTGGCTCCCGTGAAGAGGCCCTAAAAGAAGGAAGTTTCCCATTAGGAAACGAATCGCATCGAGAAACGCACGGGAATACCAACCGCTGTGAGGATCAGACAGGAGACGGTCAGGCCGAATCTCACGGGCACCGAGTCCTTGAGCCTGGCGTTCCGCGGATCCCACACCGAGCATGCCACCATGACCAGGCAGCAGGTGATGAGGAACTCGATGAAGACCCCCTGAAGCTCGCTGATCCCGGGGCCCAGAACAGTCACGCAAACACCCGCCGGGTTGTCCACTCCCTTGATGGAGCTCTCCGGCAGAACAGCCACCAGCAGACCATAGCCTATGAGGGCGCCGGCCACCTGGGCCACGAAGTAGGCGATGGCCCTGATCCAGCCGATCACGCCGTACAGCCAGGCAGCCAGGGTGATGGCCGGATTCAAGTGGGCACCGGACACGGAGCCAAAGCACTGGATGGCAATGAGGATGGCCAGGCCGAAGGTGAGCCCACTGCGGAAGTGCGAGTTCTGGAAGAGCGGCGTTTCCACACAGCCCATGCAGGCGACGAACACGAAGACGGCAGTCGCCACAAGTTCGCCAAAGAAGCAGGCTATCGCGCTTCTCTGGTGTCCTGGCAGGCGCCACCTGGCGTTCGGATTGGACTCCTGCGATTTTTGCTTCTGCTGCGACATGCTGACGGAACTCGACTGCCAAAACGCGGGGCGGCTGCCCAAGTGACCCAGCGCGCCAGCAAATGTTCGGCAATCAATCAAAATCCATTATAAAACCTTAATGCTAATTATCGAGCGCAGATTTGGTAGCAGCCCCCGCCCGCCCATTCAGGATGGATCAATCCATCAAGGCGATTTTCGGGGGCTTTGCTCAGCCGTAATTATCGGCCTGATAAGCGCCACTGCCATTTCGCCCGATTTGTGCTCAATCTTATCTCATTAAGATCTTTATCGAGCGGCGTACGGGGCGCCGTTCCTTGGCCAATACTTCTCGTGCCAGCCAGTGCCTGAATCGCCACAACAAGGCCAATAAACCTGGCCTATGGTGTTCGAAGTGTTTCAGGAATTTCGGCAGAGTGCTGCAAGTCCAGCATTAGCATATCACCCATAGCTCTTAGTCCCCTTAGGCCGCATAGCTCATACATCATTCGTGGCCCCTAGACGGACTATAGTCCCCAATGGAGCACATAATGGCAACAACCGGATATAGTTGGTTCGCTCCGCTGATAATGTTCCATTTCTGCCGATTTGGAGGTACTTAAATATTTAAAAAACTTAGGAACAGATTTTTCAAAGACTGGTCAAGTTTACGGGCTTTTCTCAGCTTCAAGTCGTCAAAAAAGCTTATTGGCATTCAAGCCCCAAAGCTCAGACATCTTAATTGGAGATTGTAAAAAGTTTAGATAGTATGAGTTCGCTCAGTATGTTTATGGATGGCCCAGAAGTGCAGAACTTCAGGTAATGCATCCCCCAAATAGCTGCCAAAATGTCCCCAGTTTCGCCAAGAACTCGTGAGGACCATTAAAACAATAAGGCTTTGGCTTGTTATAGATTACAAATCTCGATGTTCTTTATTACGGAAGGCAATTAGTGTTTTCACCAAGTTGATTATCGTTCCAAGGCTTGAGTGCACACTTGATCGCTTTTGGAACGTTCGAGCACTTTGTGAAGACACTGCTAAGATTAGCGTACAACGAATGCATTATGATAAAATTCGGCATCTTAGATATTAACTAAATTAGTTAAGGCAGCAGGTTTACGACAGCTGGACGTCCTCCAGCTGCCGCAGCTTCTCGTTGGAGGTGATCTCCGCCTCCACCACCTCGCGGCGGAAGACGACCTTGTAGGCGTAGGCGGTGATGGCGGAGGAGCTCAGGGGGGCCAGCCAGTAGATCCAGTTCTTCTCGAAGTGCTTGTTCCACAGGGCGGGGGCGAAGGACCTGGCCGGGTTCATGCTGGCGCCGGTGAAGGGTCCCTAAAAGCAATGGGTATGGGTTAGTTGTCATATCTGAAGCTAAGCCACTGAACAGTCGGCTCGAACTTACGGCAGCACAGGCGAGACAGGCGATGGCCAGACCAAACCGAATGCCCACGGAGTCGTGGAACTTGGAGTTGCGCGGATCCCAAACGCCGCAGCAGACGATGACCAGGATGGAGGTGATGACGAACTCGATGCCGAAGGCCTGGCCCACGTTCACGGTGGCATGGGGCAAGGTCACGCAGAGTCCGGCGCCCACGGTGAGGGTGGGCGGGGGCAGCAGGACCATGAGCAGGCCGTAGCCGATGAAGGCGCCCAGCATCTGGGCGGCAAAGTAGGCGAAGGCCATGCGCAGGGTGACCATGTCGTAGACGTAGGCGGCCACGGTGACGGCGGGATTCAGATGGGCGCCGGAGACGCAGCCGAAGCACTGGATGGCGATGAGGACGGCGAAGCCGAAGTTCAGCACAATCTGCAGATGGTTGTTGGGGAAGAGGTCCGTCTTCACGCAGCCCATGCAGCCCAGGAAGACCAGGATGCCGGTGCCGATGAGCTCGCCGAGGAAGGCGGAGATTTTGTCCAGCGTCGATCCCTTCATTTTGAACACCTTACAGCAACTGAAATGGTCAGAGCAGCGCTTGAATAAGGCCGCACTAAAAAGCGAGCTGCCCTCTCTTTCTCCGCCCTAAGTTCCCTGCTTAGGCGCTTCATCAATCATATCCTATCTAATACTGTCCTGAGCCCTCCGATTCGCACCTAATCTGCTCGCCACACTCCCACAATCTCGACTATTGTGCAACTTTGTATAGTAGTTGCTGCTCCGTTCTAGACCTTTGCAACCGCGCCCCTCTTGGAGAATTTCCAGGGGTTTTCCACCCCTTGCGGATGCATCCCCTGCTGCTCGAGGTTCATTGACATGTCATCGATTTTCCAAACTTCCCAAGCTTTTCCAAACACAACCTATGCCGCCGATCCGAAAAACATTGCCTGGACTGACATGAAGTAGCCGTGTACTAAATTTAGCACGACTTGTGATTGCCTTTCGGCTGTCAATTGGGTTTATAGATAAATGGCCCACAGAAGCGAATCCAATCAAGGCAGGGCCGTAAAACAATAACCAATCTTTGTCACTCTTATCGGTTGAGAGCCACTCGATTCAATTGGAGTTCCCAGCGCTGCGAATTAAGCCGTTTATGGTGATTGTTAAGTCCCTGTTCCTGGTAGTCAGTTAACACGACACTAGAAGCCCTCTAAGTACGGGCTTTCTTCGCTTTTGAGTGCGCGATATTTACCGAATCTCGTGGCTCATCCTGACACTTGTGCTAATCGCTCAAGATCGCACTGTATTATCAATATTTTCCGGAGCTGCTGCAAGTTCACAAGGCGGCAGCGCGACTGTCAATGTCAATCTGAGGCGGTGGAGTAGCCATAGGCAAATATTTATATCGGTGTCTATATAATATTGCGTAAATCAAAGCCCATTTTTAGCCCCTGTGAGAGAGCACCACCACGCACACACACACGCACACGCACACGCACACGCACACACACAGTGCGAGAAACACACACAAAGGCGCGCAAATTAGCGAATCCACTGGTGAGCATAAAAGCCAAGTGTCCAGAATTATGAGCATCCTCAATGCTCATTCGCTGCTCTCGCGGCGCTCTGCTCCTACCGCTGTGTGCGGTTGTCTCTGGAGCGATGCTCCTTCTCGCTCCCACTCTCCTGCCACCTGGCTCAATCATCGCCAAATGTGAGAAACAGCTATTAGCACTGACATACTGGTTTTCTTCAATCGAATCTATAAAAGTTAAATTTCATTCACAGCATTTTGTCAGAATTATTGTAATAATAAAGAGCTGGGGAATGGTCTTTACATTACTGCTAAGTGAATTATCACTCGAATCCCATTGCAAATGGCTAGAGATTCTTGTGTTATATAAGCTGAAGGCCAAGACTTTTTCAATAGCCAACTAGTTCCAAAATGTAGGCCATGGCCAGCAGTGATTGCGGGAATTATCAGCAGCCATAGCTCCCAAAAAGCCACATTTTGATTGCATGGCATTCATGAAACCGAGCTGTAAACTTGGCATTACACCGTAATTGATATTGACAATCACCATGATTATTTTCAGTGTGGTGGGCGGTGGGCGGTGGGCTGTGCAAGTGCGTGACGCGCTGGCAATTGAAACTGGCCACCGCGTATTGATAACAGAGTGGCCCACTATCAATTACCACCGTCGATGCCTATCAATTGCAATTGCTGCAATTGAGGATGCGTTGCGCGAATCGGGCTACGCAGTGTGGCAAGCAAATCACGGCGAATCTCGGCACGCCTGTCCATCAAATGGCACGCAATTTGCGTAGTTATGTGGCTCAATAACAATTGGAGCGGCGCTGGTAAACAATAATAAAATGACAATAATTTAAAGCAAATATTTTCAAAGCCCCGCTGTTGCATAAACAGCAGCTCAGGTGATCTACTGCGAACTTCTGACCCTCCCTGACCACGCCTAATGTTTTCTATCGCTTTCCATAGCTAAAGCAGCTAAAACACATCGGTATGTGCACAGAATGTCCGCCGGTGGAGAAAATAGCACCGATGAGGCCTCTTGGCCCAGGGCCAAGAGCAAATGTTTGGCCAACTCATTGACAGTTGGTAAAAGGAGAGCGACACGTTTTGGCAAGAGACAAACAGATTAAAGGCAGCACAATAAACACGCGATGGATCGAGAGTTTAAAAATAAATCACACCCATCCGATGCAAAGCACAAGCTAATAATTTAATTACCACCTGCGCCTTCATCATATTTTCCATGCCCAGCAGGATCACGTATCATCCATGGGATCGCTGCATGGGCCACGATTTCCGATGGCCCGAGGGCCTAATTGGCGGCAAACGGCGCTGGGGATGATGGCTCTTAATTATTATAATCCATTCTCATTGTTTATCTAAGTGATGGGACGTGACCGGCGGTTCTGGGTTCGTATTTTGGGCGGTGCTAATGGCTGGTGCTGGCGGAAGTGGGGTCTGTTAATTAACAGAGGTGTGCGATGAGAACGGGGACTCCTCGGAGCTTTGCGAAAGCTCTGCTGCGAGGATGTGCAGCTTTCGCAGAGCTTCGATCGCTAGCTTTCGGAGAGCTTCTGCAGGAGCTTCCTTATCAGTCGGCGTTGTTATTAGCTAATTGTGACTAAGTTGGTGATGGAGTGATTAAGTGATAAAGTGATAAAGTGGTAAACCGTTGGCCAGAAGCTCGTCGTAAAAAACTTGTTAGCCTGAAGAACAGCCAATCAATCCGTGCTGATAAGCCACTGATAATGGCTGTGGCTGCTTAAGAAGTGATTTCTGCTAGTGGCCACAAAATGTTGGCCATAAAGCACACGCCACAACCACTGTCACTCGGCTGATAACGGATATCGAGCTGAGTGATTGTGTTTTGGGATTTGCGCTGTCCGCGGCGCAATATCACAGGCTTAATTTGGCCATAATTGGGCCAACTCAAATCGGATTTACTCGTCAGACATTTTGACATCGCCCCGCATTTATGGCTCAAAAGTGCTTCCAAAGTGCGATAGCGATCGGGTGCCGACTTATCGAAGCCAAACAACCCATGCCGCTTTATGGCATTCCAATTGCCAGCTGGATCGTAATTGAAGCTCATTACAGTGCCATAGGCGGAAGCCCTAGTCCCCATTGATCCAGATCGCAAGCAGCCTCTTCCCTTCTTATCTGTGCGGCTTATCAGCGCAATGGAAACTGCTGACGCTGGGGTTGCACAACAGGTTGTTGGCCCGCTTATTTACGGCTGTAAGTACGGGGGCAATAAGACGTGGTCAAAAGTACGGCGACATCCGAGCACACGACTCGAACAAGTCAGGTGCTCCGGCAGCTGAAGGTTCCTGATTTTGTGGCCAAAATCGGGGCTCCGTCTTATCAGCTGGCCACGAGGTTGGGCCACTCGAAACTAGATTGCGCACACTATGATTTGTGAAAGCTTTGTAATTATTAGACAGACAGTTCGCTAATTAGTGGCATATAACGCTAGTTCAGAGCACTGATATCACTCGGCACTCGGCAGTGACCTAGGCTACGCATTCCCCTGATTCCCTTTTGCCACGAAGGCTGCTCCCCGGGGAATTTATGGTCCGATGTGGCTGCTAATCAAGAAGTGCGCCATGCTATTTTTGGCACCTTAAGTGTGTAGCATGCAGGCCATCTGATAGTCCAAAGTGTGCTGGGCGATAAGGCCTGAGTGATTCTAGAACTAAGTTGCAGATCATGCATTATGCAACGGCCCTGTCTTGGAGTCTTGAATTGGAACTACTTTCTGCTCAATGGCGGCTGGGTCCGGATTGATAACCCCAGGCAGAGCACCTTATCAAGTGGCAAAGCAACCAACTTAATCGCAGTTCCGAGTGGTTGCGGCGGTTTGCCAAGCACAAATACGACGGCGTGGGATTGAATGACATCAACCAACTGTGAAGAATCGCAGGGTTTTGGCATAAAACTGGCTTAGCCAAGCGCAATTACCATATAGGAACTGCCATATCGGCACTTGACTGGCCCAATTTGAGCACGGCCAACCGGTTTCTCAATCATATGATGACTTTTCGACTGGGCCAAATCGAGATCCGTTTAATGGAGCCAGCAATCTGGCGATGGGGCACGCGATGCACCACTTGATTGATTTATCAAATTTGATTAGCACTAGCTCGTGAGTTCGCCGAAAAGATATAAATCGAAGGCATGTGCCAGCTTATATAAATCGAGGCTTCGTTTAGTTAGTCACTAATTAAGCGTAAAGGTTCGAACATGATTGAACTATCTCACTAATAAGAGCAGCTGTTTAATCAAGCGCTTTCGAAAAGATACATTTGAAATCGCTTGGCAAGTGCTGAAGTTTAAACAGGAAGAAACTGGCATTTGTAAATCTTTTTATACCGCCTTATAAGAGATCTCTGCTAAACACTTTATCAGACGCTGCGACCTTCAAGACGGCCAAAAATTGTTCACTTTGCTTGGTTTCATTTTTCGGTTTTTGGTGGGAGTTCTCGAATTGCGCAGATAAAAAACTTCGGGCGAGAACCGATTCCGCACACACCATATGCCGAGTTTATATGTAGCAGATACATTGGAATATTCCGAGTGCCCACCTAATACATTGGTACTTAAGGTATCATAAAATGATCAATTTGGTGCGGGCGCTATGCAAAATCGAAAAATCGCCTGATCCAAGGCCAGAAATTCCGTTCTGTACTTATCAGGCCGCTTTTCATTTTATAGAGTCGAGAATCAGGAATTGAGTGACCCCGCCAATCGTGTTGCTATACTTATTTTTCAATGATAATTTTGATAAGACCGCCACACCAGCCGACGTCTAATTAGTATACAAAAACAACGATGGTCGGGGCAAACATATATGAGTGTACGTATAGGTGGTACATTTGTGTAGCTAGAAGCTAAGTAGAGCAGCGGGCACAACTAATGTATGCACACAGTGTGGAATCGTTTTCCAAAACCAAAAGCATGGCACAGTTCTTTAAAAATAAACATTCTTCGTTAGAGTTGCTTTTCGCCACCAGGCAAGCGTGGGATGAATGTCAAACGCTTCTAAAGACGATTCTAAAAACGGGCTAAAGCGATGGCAGTATCTGTATCTACAGCTGAATTTCAACCCGACCTTATCTAATTACCCGCCCGATAGTTGCGCAATCGCCCACTGCAGGCTCGCCCATCATCAGGTGCAAATGCTAAATAATGCACATAATTACGAGTCAATAATGCGGCGGTCGGTAGACAACAATATTAATAAATGTGTAAATGAGCAGGTTTTCGATTGTTCTTCGCGTGTTTGATCACTGTTTGATCACAAAGCAGCCAGTGGCGCTGTGGAGTGGGAACACCGCTTTTTATGGCTAGACGGCGATAAGGCAGAAATGGAAAGCAGAAAGCTGAAAGGCCAGATAACCCAGAGATATTTGAATGAAATTAACATTAATCGGCCATTGCACACACTCCACTCCACTCTGCGCAAGATATGCGAATATTCTACACTCTGTTTTACTCTGTTTCACTGTGTTTCCTGCTTTCCTGTTTCGCTTTGCCCAAGAAGCAGTGCACGATGTTCGAAGGTGCAAGCCCGCCAATTCGAAAACGCGTTTTGCGAACAGCACTCGCCGTTAGTCGACGCGCTGCAGGCGTTTTCGCCACTTGTGACTTAATGGAATTTTGCGACAGCTTTGGTAATTAATTAACGCACACTCGAGACCACGGAGAGCCAAACTAACCTGCGTTCCGATCGATCGTTTGTTTGCTATTGAGCGTGGAAAAGGCCTCCAGCTAAATACGCGCGATCGACTGCGCGCGGGCTGCGCGGTCGGCGTCGCAGCTGGACACCACGGCGTATGATTGCCTAGCTATCAAGCAGCGCAGTCGGCGTCGCAGTTGGACTGCACGGCGTGTTAGTGTTGCTGCTTCCCAGCACAAGCAAGCAGTGCGAAGCAGTGGCTGCGCAGGCGGCTGCGAAAGTTCAGCTGCTATCGCCACGGCTGAAGAGACGCCAGCTGCGCAGTCGACGCTGCGTTCTTGCGCCAGTGATGTGAGCTTTTGATAGCGTTATCAAGCAACTTAGTTCACGTGAATATGCGCTGTGCTTTGTATCGCAAGCAGTGCAAGCAGTGGAGTTTGGAAACGAGTTTTGGTTGATCTCAATAAAAACATTCGCATCGTGATTCACACAGTTATTTCAATAACACCACCAAAATATTTGCCATTTCACAAGGAGACATATTAAAAGTTGCATTATAATACTTCCATTGGGGAATCAACCCATCCAGCTAAGGGAAAATACCATTTAGAATTTGATTGTCTCATCAAATGAATGACATACGCGTCAGCTATTTACATAAGTTAAACAAATAAAGTTAGTATAAAGCCCATATTTACGGACACAATAGTCACGCAGTCCCGAGAAAACAATTAAAAACCCACCGTTTCCATATTTGGACACATGGAAGTCATGCATACTGTGCAATTAAAATGAAGTATAAGTATGACAGTCATATTTGCCTAATATTTCCGCCAATTATCAGAACACCTCAGATGCTGAGGTTAAAGTTAATGAAAAAGCGGATTTCAAGTAGAAAAACACTCAATTTGCTCTCGAGTGGCGTTACCCAAGTGATAAGACAAACCAAAACTGATAGGAAGAGCAAGAAAAGATAGGGCAAATTAAATAATTAAGAGCGTGCCATAAAATAAATCAACAGATGACAAAATCCGTGGCAAGCGAGTGATAATCAATTTGAAAACACCCATAAAATTACCTAGATTGAATGAAGTGGCGCGCCCTCTTGGATAAGGGAGAGTCAAGGGGGAAGAGCGGATTAATAGCCCTGTTTACACTTACCTTCAAGGCTGCGGTGACTGGGAAACTTACCCGAAAGATTCCTGGCCGAATCGAATGGCACCCACTTGAGATAGCACTTATCACTTATCACTGATCACTCGCGGCCAACAGTACGTCACTCAGCGAAAGCTTTATCGCGCTTCGGATTTCCATGACGGATTCGGATTTCCTTGTGGCCTTGACACTCAAATCACACACTCGCCTTATGGCGCGCACCTTCGGCGACTTGCGCCCAAAGATTTGCATAGACCTTTCCGCGGCGGAACACATTTGAAGTTCGATAATAAATTATGGACATAGACATAGAAACTATGTGTGCCAGCGCTCGAGGTAGAAGCAATTTAGCTCGCTAGATTAATAAATAAATTCAATGAAACCGCGTCGAATCAAAGAGGCGAATGGAGGCGATTGATGTTTTGCAGATGCTTATCGACATCCACCATCCACCGCTAACTCCCGCGCATGTGACACAGTCCTATATACTCTTATACCATATCAACCATGTTACTATTATTATTATTCTTATGCCATATTGTTTGCTGGTCTAGGCCAGACCCGCTTGATTCATGAACACTTCGCTTCTGTCTGGCGCAGCTCGTTAGCCGCGTCGGGAGTCACCGAAAACTGGTTAAACGGCGTACTGGCCTGCGAAAATGCAAAACACATAAACAAAGCGGCGGCATTTGCGTTTTCTTGTATTTGCAGTGCGGTTCTCGATGCCGCAGCCGAAAATAAATGTGGGCTTTCTGTTTTGCTGCCTTTTTGCTGCAAACACTTGGGCGCACGTGACGTATACGCAACGTGGCACCACCGAAAGTGTGTCAGAAATGGGTATACGAAATGGTGTTGTAATAAATAGCAAATGATGTCGCACCTTCTGCGCGTCTGCTTGCCACTCGGTGGCTCCTCGCTGCCCATCTTTATTTGCTGAACGCTGACCGCGGACTGCTGCTGTGGCACTGGCATTTCCTCGCACTTTTACTCCAATTGCTTGGGCAATTTTACTTTATTCGCCTTTTCTCTCCTTGTGAAGCACTTGATGCGCGTAGCAACTAATTGAGTTTCCCGTTTGCAATGGTAATTTCGTATGAATCGGATGCCGTGCACAACTTCACTGCGTGTCGCGAATTCGGACTCTTGACTCGCGGACGGTGTATCTGTATCTGCGGAACGGGTATTTGTATCTGTATCTGCAGCCGGTACAACGCATGTGAGTTTCGCTTTCGAGCGCCGATCGACTGACTGACTATAGCTGTACTACGGCTTTAGCTGACTGGCGGAGAGTAAACGATGTCGCCGCTTAACAAAACCGAAGAGCAAAAGCCAAAGCGCCCATCAAATCAAATATCGCAAAAAGGCATGCCATAAAATCGAGGCAGCAAAAACCGTAAGTGCCATTAGACACGATACCCAATCACCAGGTGGGTATATACCCTACTCACATGCGATGCGCGTCAATCCAGATAGTGCCGATCAACAGCTGGGATTACTTAGCCGCGCTGCACAAGTGCAACTTTACCCAGCCCCATTGAAACTGATAATGAAATAGCATTGGATGAGTGCGCCTAAGTACTCCAAAGAAACACGCAAAGATTAATAACAAACGGCTTGAGATACAAATAATGTTCCAATGTTTACCTTATTGGCACAGATTTTACCTAGTATCCTATCCTATCAATAACTGACATTAGAAACTGACGGTTGCGCTGCGAAGGGCGCCTGCGAGGTATCCGACTAGTCGAGTACCCAAATGTTCCGCTTGCCCTCGGTTTTTTCGACTTTTGTTTTGATTCGACAGGTTTTCGCTGAACTATTGCGTAGAGGGTCATCACAAAGTGAAGTGATCTCTTTCGGTTCTTGGGCAACCCGACTAATTGCTCGTGGTGGCTGAGTGTCTCAGCAATTGCTTGCCATTGTTTCGCGCAGTGTAACGTAGCTGGGGCTTATCACTTATGTACATACATACATATGTACATGTATGGATTTATGGAAAAAGCCTTGTACATGCCCTAAAGCAATTCCGCATTGACGCAAAGATCGGGTTTTTATTTGATTAGTTTCAATCGCGTGCAATATGATGTGGTTGTTTGGGGCTCTGCAATGGGGGGTTCTTTTTTATCCACTATATGGGAGGCCCGTTTCGATATCACTTATCGGAAAGCAATTTATTGGGCGGCGAGTATTGCTCGGGTTGTAAAAACAAATGATAACAGTTTGTTCTGTGAGTAGACTGTAAATAGACTGCTGAAATGAGCTTACTGAATTTATGAATTCATAAACGCGTTTTATGGGAGACTGGACCTCTGCTGCTACCGTTATAAAAGGGTTGAGATACTTTCAAGAGATACTGCATACTTTTCGGATGCTACAATTATGGGTGCATACTTTTAGGCATTTTGACCGCTTTAAGTTGCCATCAATTGCTGTACATTTTAGTACATCTCAAGAATTCCACTTTATTATTATTATTCTTAGATTTTGTTTCCATGTTGAACAAGCGAAGGTTCCAAAAACCAACGCAGCTCTAAATATGTACTTATGGCGCCACCAAAAGCTTTTCAAGCTTTCGCTTGCATTTTTAACCTCTAGCTTTTATACCCTTAACTAGGGTATTACACAATAAGCGAGAAAGCAGTGCAAATTATATTATATTATTAACGCAAATTGTATTAATTTTTATAGCTGTGATATTTATACCTCATTGGGGAAGTAGCTTCCGCAATATCATACAATTGGGGTGGTTATATTGCTTATATAGCTTATAATAATACAAAGATACAACTATATAAGAACCTGGATATGATTGCCATAAAAGGGAGTTTCCCGATAACAAAGTAGTAAGCGAGTAATAATGACTTTTTACATGTTTCTAATTAAATTATAACTTAATCTACAATTTCAAAGAGCCAGCTGAAGTGCGTATAGACTAAGGCTGCTTCGAGAAATGAAATATTGGTATCTGGACGTATGCGAGAGATCAAAAATAGCCGACTCACGGCGATTAACAGGAATTAACATGTATCGCTAAAGTCGGCCAAATATTGACAATCGGCCGAGGCGAGTGAGTGACGGAGATCGGATGTATCCGGTCCAGCGATGCGGAGGAGAAGGCGGAGCTGGAGGCCCTGGAACTGGTTAATGTGAGTACGTATACGTATAATCGATTTCACACTACTTTTTAATCACTACAAAACATTTATTGTTTGCCCGCAGCGAGAAAAGTCAAACAAAAAGCGGCGACGAGTCGGAATGGGTCGAATGGCTGAACAAATTGACTTGGCCACATAATTAGGCACTTGCCCATGTCCACAGCTTGTACGATATATTCGTATACAAGTATATGTGTATCTACATATGCATATGTGTATTCCTTCGATCCCGTGCAGTTGAAAGTATCTCACGCAGTGGGACAAAAGGTTTTTATTGTGCGTACGCGTTGACAGCCTCAATCGACGGGGTTTGGCCGAGACTTACCTTTGGGTCGCATCGTTTGTTATATTTGTTATTTATTTTGCGGTTATAATACTTATGCACTGGCCGGGACGGAAAAATATTGGCATCCATTCAGCGGGACAAAACATCACGGCGTTTTTACAGTTTTCGAGCCGCGACCGGATGATAAATTAGCTTTGTACGTAAATTCAAAATGGAAAATCAGTATGTGAAAATATCCCCAGCTCGAGACGAGTCGAGTCGAGTAATTGTGTAAATATCTTGTCGCTGCATGACAATACCAGGCATCCCCATTCCGCCTTTCTTTGCCGCACAATGAATGCCACATTATTATTTTGTAGTTTGTCAACCAAACCAAACCGAAGCGAACCGAACCGAACCCAACCCCGAAAAGGCGTTTTAGAGCCGGGAGATGAGATGAGAGATGATAATTCAATGTCGCTCGGCCAGCGCACGGATGCAGATACAATATCTTTTTATACACATGATGACCGCGCAGGCCAAAGGAATTGTAATTACGTGTCCGTCGCCTTGTGCCGCATTTGTATCTTCATTTGTATCTGTATCTGTAGCTGTATCTGCATTGCGAGTATCTGCATCTCCAACAAAGGCATCAGCATAACAATGCACCCATTTCTGTAAGCTCCGGATCTGAACTTCTCCCCCAGGCCGCGCTGTTTCGCTTAATAAGCGCCTAAATAGTGTCAATGATTAATTGCTTTTGTGATTAGATGGAAATTTAATAGATTTTTTATTGTGTGCCCGGCCAAATTGAAATTCTATCAAGGTACAGATACTGGAGGCACGTCTGCTTGTTTTTGTCTCTGCAACAGCATCGTTATTACCCTCCTCACAACTTCAGTTCAGTTATTTGTCAGCTGAGCAAAAGAGCCGCATCATTGTTACCAATTTCGAATTCAAATTGAAATTCACACTCGTCACGCTGCCAGAAAGTGCCAGAAACGCTTGATCTGCTCCCTGTTTTTGGCCCCTTCCAAGTGCCCTCAACTTGTTAGCTTTCTGGGCAGAGAACATAGACCGGAGACCGGAGACCGGAGACCAGTTACCCAACCCCCCGAATTCCACTTATATTAAATGTAATGCCACCGCAAAATCCCCAAAGCCGACCGAGAGACCACAGGCAAACGGAAATAGATACGCAGAAGTCCTGCGACTAGCAATCTGCTCAAATCCCACACAAAGTCGCAAAGAAAACACACATTGAAAGGGGAAATTCAAGTGGAAATTACTCAATTACAAGGCACGTCCCCTGCGCGCCAGTTCTCCGGTTATCCTGATTATGATAGTCCAAGAACCTTGGGGGAAACCCTCCAAGTCGCCGGCGATGTGCGATAATTACACTGCATAAAAGCGGGGGAGACAATGCAACGACAATTATGTAACCCGATAAGAGCTGGCCAGCGTGGAAAACTCAGACAAAACTTGTGAAATTAATAACCCACCTTCGCTGCGAGTTGCCGAGTCTCCGAGTCCCCCCTTCCTTGGCCAAACATATTTATTACAAATAAAGAGACAAACACAAAAGCACAAAAGGCAAACAAATAAAGAGACCTGGCCCAAAACATTCGAGGACGGAAACAACAAAGCGTTTGGGCCATTTAATAGGCTTAACTAAAGTCTGAAGTGTTGACAAGTTGTCGTGGTTCGATTTACACATGAATTTGAGCAGAAAACTCGGTTCTGTGTGCTTATTTAGGCCGAGAGATACAATTATTGCATCTCCTTCAATTGCTTTGATCAGTTCCCAAACACGTAATTCATAGTTAAGCCGGTTGGAGTGTGCTCCAAAGGTTTTCCGATTGATTAACACATGGGCTTGCGTCTGCATCTCAAAGATACACAAAAACCACTTGTACAATCCGATTCATTAAATTGGATTAATCAATAATTTATTTAAACTTCTGGTCAAGGTGTGCTTTTTCAATGCGAATAATTGAATATATAATCAAGAATTGGTATATATATATCTTTTATCTTTTGTATCTGTATCTTTTTTATCTACAATTTGTAAGCGAGCAAAGCCTTATATCAATCATGAAGTGAATCTACCCAACTAACGAATACATGATACGGAAGCTTCCCATTGGCTCAGCCGCAGAGGAGCACTTTGATTAGATACTGGAGAGCCGAGCAGCAAATGGCAGATTCAGAACGAGATGCAAATGTATCTTGTGTGTAGTACTTGTGCATTAAGATTGCTGCCCTCGAATCTCCCCACCACCACCCACCCACAATGTACACGAAGTTCTCTGCCCGTTTCGTTTCGATTCCAACATTTCCTTTTCCAATTTCAATTCCAATCTCAATTCAAATTGTGTGCGCACGCTCTCGCCGCTTGCCAGTGTGTGTGTATCTCGTATCTGTGTGTGAGTGCCTCTATGGGCCACTCGCTCGCACTCGCAGCGCCCAGCGACATCTGCGGGCCTGCTCGCTCCTCGATTATTTTATCTGTCCGCAGGCAGCCAATCGGATGGCAGTTTCATCGCCAGGTGAGCTATTCGACATAAAAAGCGCTTATAACCACACCTCAATCGAACAGCGAGGGGCGCTCCAAAAGTAGATAGCACACATAGTGTGCGGACTGAACTCAGACTAACTCATGCACACCACACTCGTTTTATGGCCGCAACACCTGATGTGTGTTTCTCCACTGCCCAGCCGGCCAGCAGACCAGACCACATAAATTCGTTTTACGCTCTTTTAATTGAGTTAGCTAATTAAATGTTTCGCTTGCCCATCTCCAGCCCCTTCCCCTTCCCCATTGCCATCCCCACCCTACCGCATCCCGAGCACTTTTTGGCGTGG